TTTTTTTTTTTTTTTTTTTTTTTTTTGTTGGTGGTGGCGTTGAAAGGCCATTTTCATAGATTAAAATCTGTTAACTGGACAAAGGAGAACCTGTATTTTTATAGTGGCCATACAGTGAAATACTTCAAGGTGAGATGTTTTTATCATTAAAATTCTGTGGCATTGAATGCGGAACCATCACGCGATAGATTGTAGGCTATAGTATATTGCAAACTGAAAGCGAATGCAGTTGTAATAAATCAACTATAAAAGTTACATAATTTTTGTGACTTCGAAAGGACGTTAGGCACTTTAAACGAAAATAGAAAAAAAATTGAAAGTTGCAACGTTGACATGAGAACGCTTCAAAAGTTATATTAAGACAAAATTAGAGAAATTGATTATTGTGATTTAAATAAATTATGCAGTCAATATTTTGAAGCACTTTTCATGTAAGTCCTGTATTATCGGCCTTGTTACCGCTTGGGGAATGGATTTTAGCCAACTGTCAACCCTTTCAAATTTGGGACTGTTATATATATTTGATAATGGACACCAAATTCTACATCGGTGTACATGAATTTTATATTGCGGCCGATTTTTTTTTTCTTGTCACGTATTTGTGAGTGTGGGCAAAATGCTTTTTCCGCTGGGTAACAGAAGATTTATTACATATATATTTCCAAGTTTGTCAAGCGTCAAATTTTACTCAACACACAAATAAAATATGTTTACTTTAAGTATGTCTCATAAATCAACTAGATATGGTACTTAACTTGTTATTACAATTTTTTAAATATTTGCACAAAATTCTGTTGACATTAATGTCAGATTAAGTTATTTCAATGTGCCATGGTCTGTATATTTGCAAGGTTTAATTTTCATTGTTATCATTTATTTATTTATTTATTTATTTGTTTATTTATTTATTGCAGAAGCCATCCTCCCCTGCCTTCTAATGGAAGACGACGAAGACCCAACGACCAGCTGTCAAACCTCTCCCAGTAACTCCAGTGTCGTGGCGGTCCCTGGGGGTGGTGCGTCCGTCCCTGGGGGTAGTAGGGAGGCCCCTAAGATAGAAGGCCTCTCTGGCAAAGGCGGAGTGCTGCTGGCAGTTAAGTTTGCAGTGGAGATAGTGGTGAGGCCGCTGGTCGGGATCGTGGTTGGCAGGTACGCTAATGATTCCATAGCAACTGACTAATTCAAGAGGGGAGAGACTGACTGATTGGCTACGTGACTCACTGACTGACTTACCAACTGACATCTGTCTGATTGACTAAGTGACTGACTCTACAGACTGATACCTGTCTAACTGACTGACTGATTCACTAAGTGGCTCACTGACTTACTAACCGACTGACATCTGACTGATTGACTAGCTAAGTGACTTACTCTACAGACTATCTGTCTATCTGACTGACTAATTGACTAAGTGACTCACTGACTGACGAACTGACTGACGTCTATCTGACTGACTAACAAAGTGACCGATTGAAACACTAACCTACAGAATAGATGGATGGATGGACGGAATGATGGAAGAAAGGGTGGAAAAATGATATGATAACATTGTGCATATACTCCAATATTGTGTTTTATATAACTATTTAAACCATCTTTAAGGTTTGGCCACAAGTCGCCTCTGCTGGTTGGGTGTGTTCTAGATGCCGCGGCAACGATAGGTAATTTTTAAATTCCAATTTAACTAAATGTTTTATTCTTATGCTTGAATCAAACGCAAATACTGTTTATATAATATATACATTTAATTGGTTTGATTGTGAGTTTTCCCGTCATATTTGTAGATTTCCCTCTGCTTTCGATGGTTTTGGATACTTCGTGAAGTACTTTGATTTTACAAACACACATTATTTGCCTGCGTATGTATAACACGACAGCTGAAAACATATCTTTATATTTTAAGTGAATGATAATTTCAGAATAATTTAATGATGGTATAATTTCAGCTTTTGCATTTGTAAAACAATTCCCTCTGCTGATTCTGATACGCATGGTTCAGGGCCTGGGGTCAAGTGTCACATATGTTGCTGGTAAGTTTACAGACTTCCCCTTAAAATGATCACCTGAGAAGTCTTCTTCTGAACATAATAGTGTTTATTTCTTTTATTATTTTATCTGAGCCCTACAACACCATAGCAGTCATTTAGTTGTTCAACGATACATTTTGTCTACTTTTAAGGACCGAATCTCTCTCTCTCTCTCTCTCTCTCTCTCTCTCTCTCACACACACACACACACACACACACACACACACACTACGCACGCACGCCAGCTGATGCACGCGTTCATATTTAATTAATTTTTAAAAATCTGACGTTCATTTTGTAAAGCAACTGTTTTTCTGCACTGTTCTGTTGTAGCTGTGACATTACTTGCTGAAAGATTCAAAGATAAAAAGGAAAGGACAAAAGCGTTTGCAGTGGCATTTGGAGGGTATGCAGTTGGAATGCTAGGTAGGTAGGTAGTTTGTGTTGCATGGCTAACTTAACTTCTCTATAATAGAGTCAGGATAAGGCGTGAAGATAATTCCATACATAAATTCCCTCTAGACACAGTAGAATTAGACAGAGACATATCTGCGAATATCTAGTGGAAAATCCATCTGTGGTTCTTGAAGAGAGTAGGCAAACCTATGGGTTTTCTTGGGGGTCACAAGGATATGTCCATTCAAGTCAATTTTATTTCCAGTCGGTATATTAAAAAAAAGACAAAACGCAAGATATATTCAGGTTTTTGGACCAATTCAGATGATAACAGTCAAAATATTATATATTGCTTATTATTTCAATTTATTAGATAATTATTCAGTGTTCCATAAAATTGACTTGTATTTATTCTGTTACTCATCTTTTAAAGGTGGTTTTTAGTAAATAAAATAAAATAAAAAAATGACCTATTTTAGGAGGTTACTCTATGGGCAGTGTGTTATACCAGCTATTGGGCAGACTGGCGCCTTTTCTTCTACAGGGAGGTCTCAAATGTTTTGACGCAGGTTGGGATAATATAATATAATATAATATAATATAATATAATATAATATAATATAATATAATATAATATAATGCAATAAATGTATCCAATTATCATCATCTCAAATGACATTGTGATTTATTGCTTTAATGTTGTAGTCGTACCATTTTGGAAATTAAATAATTTTTTTTGTTTTCTCTCGTTCATCTTAGGGCTACGTTTGCTGGTTGTTTGCCCCACAGCGGAGGTAAGATTTGTTATCGAATAAATTCAGTTTTCTAGGATAAAAGGGCGCAGATACGTCCATTTTAAGGGAATTAGATCATTTAGTTATTCCATTAAGCCATACAGCTACTGGGTATAGTGAAATTGAACGCTTAAAACTGTTAAAACATAAGAACGAACGAAAAAAAAAGACCCTGGAAAATATTTGATAATCTCGTAACATTAACTTTTTCATCAGTACCAGTATGAGAATGATTTGTCTATATAGTCAATTTATTAACTTCTTATTTTATTATAGGGTACTGATGACGACAATAAATCGTTTAGGATCTCAAGGTTTCTCAATATATTAAAAGACCCGTATATTATCCATGCCTTAGGTAAGTTCTCCACAAACTGCCTTGTTTTGGAACTTAAAACATATAAAGGCATGCACATCCAACAGGGACGAGATCAAGGTTGAATGTTCCGTTTGGTTTTCATCGAACTGTTATTCGGTACAGCACAACACGGATCCAGTACATTTTATTATAGCTGCTATGCCCATTGAACACCGTAGGTTTTAAACAACGAACAACAACCGACCGTGTCTCTGCTCGTAACAAATTTATCAATTATGTGTGGCCAAACGATATTTTCATTTCTGACCGATACTTTTAATTATTCAGATTCTTTTGATGATGCTTGTATGTTAACCAGTGTTTGCACGCCACTCCCTTGATAAGTACCCCGAGTTTCACATTTAAAAATTCGTTATTTTTCACCTTTGTAACAATGAACGTTGAAAAACTTCTTCTTTGTAGGTTTTGCCTTCGTCGTAAACTTTTCCTACTCCCCAATATTAGCAATGGCGCCACCGTGGCTCCTACAGCGAGGAGCACAGGAGTGGCAAATAGGTAGGTGCGCCGCATTTAAATTACAACATGACCCGCCCTGGTCCATTATAATTAATGCCCGGGACATTAATGACGTCATTACTGGGTTCATATGGAAAGTCGCCAAAGACACGGAATTGAGAGATGTCATGCACCTTGCGTATTTATCATCTATAACGAAATTTGGACACGATAGTTTTAAGGATATTAGAACATTCAATTATTTCCAATTGAGTCGTCACAGAGGCAGTATTGAGAGATGTCATTTATATTGCATGTGGCCTGTGTTTATAATTCTAAAACGGAATTTAGACATGGTCATTTTAAGGGCATTAGATCATTGGAATATTTCCATTAGCTAATAAGACCCCATTAGTGAAACTGGTAAAACATATGGAATGAGCAAAACTAGGAAATAATCAATGATCGTGTATATTTGTTAACGTTTCGATTCCCGAGAATAGGTATCATTTGACTCGAATTNTGGTTGTTTGCCCCACAGCGGAGGTAAGATTTGTTATCGAATAAATTCAGTTTTCTAGGATAAAAGGGCGCAGATACGTCCATTTTAAGGGAATTAGATCATTTAGTTATTCCATTAAGCCATACAGCTACTGGGTATAGTGAAATTGAACGCTTAAAACTGTTAAAACATAAGAACGAACGAAAAAAAAAGACCCTGGAAAATATTTGATAATCTCGTAACATTAACTTTTTCATCAGTACCAGTATGAGAATGATTTGTCTATATAGTCAATTTATTAACTTCTTATTTTATTATAGGGTACTGATGACGACAATAAATCGTTTAGGATCTCAAGGTTTCTCAATATATTAAAAGACCCGTATATTATCCATGCCTTAGGTAAGTTCTCCACAAACTGCCTTGTTTTGGAACTTAAAACATATAAAGGCATGCACATCCAACAGGGACGAGATCAAGGTTGAATGTTCCGTTTGGTTTTCATCGAACTGTTATTCGGTACAGCACAACACGGATCCAGTACATTTTATTATAGCTGCTATGCCCATTGAACACCGTAGGTTTTAAACAACGAACAACAACCGACCGTGTCTCTGCTCGTAACAAATTTATCAATTATGTGTGGCCAAACGATATTTTCATTTCTGACCGATACTTTTAATTATTCAGATTCTTTTGATGATGCTTGTATGTTAACCAGTGTTTGCACGCCACTCCCTTGATAAGTACCCCGAGTTTCACATTTAAAAATTCGTTGTTTTTCACCTTTGTAACAATGAACGTTGAAAAACTTCTTCTTTGTAGGTTTTGCCTTCGTCGTAAACTTTTCCTACTCCCCAATATTAGCAATGGCGCCACCGTGGCTCCTACAGCGAGGAGCACAGGAGTGGCAAATAGGTAGGTGCGCCGCATTTAAATTACAACATGACCCGCCCTGGTCCATTATAATTAATGCCCGGGACATTAATGACGTCATTACTGGGTTCATATGGAAAGTCGCCAAAGACACGGAATTGAGAGATGTCATGCACCTTGCGTATTTATCATCTATAACGAAATTTGGACACGATAGTTTTAAGGATATTAGAACATTCAATTATTTCCAATTGAGTCGTCACAGAGGCAGTATTGAGAGATGTCATTTATATTGCATGTGGCCTGTGTTTATAATTCTAAAACGGAATTTAGACATGGTCATTTTAAGGGCATTAGATCATTGGAATATTTCCATTAGCTAATAAGACCCCATTAGTGAAACTGGTAAAACATATGGAATGAGCAAAACTAGGAAATAATCAATGATCGTGTATATTTGTTAACGTTTCGATTCCCGAGAATAGGTATCATTTGACTCGAATTACTTCCGTATTCAGACCATTTAGCGGGCGATGAAGTTGCACCAAAATGAATTTCACACATGAATAATTAGATGATTAACCCTTTAAGGATATAAGCATCAAAATAAGCATTTGTATTCAGAAAATAAAAACTATAACAGGGGTGTACAGATCGTAATTTTGTGAACGGTTTTAGATGTACCTTACTGTTGAGGGGAAATTGCTAGGCAAATTATTATTCTTATTGCTGTTTAAATGCCTTTCCGTTTTATTTTATTATTTGATCATACAACAGACATTAACATGTACAGTAAGGGAATACTTATCTATATGATACGATGAAATAACAAAAAACGAGGGATTTATTGCCCGGCTTATAAAAATCTTCAATACTAAGAGCATTAAAAGTTTTTAATTTAAGCGCGAGCTTCTTTTTACCATGTGCTGTTGCCAGTCAATTTGACCTATTTGTACATGTTTATTTTCAGGTGTATTATTTGTGGTCTCAGGAGTTGTCCAGCTTATGATGCAAGAAGTTGTAAAGCGACTATCCAAAATACTTGATAAGTAGGTGCCTTACTCTTCTATACATCAAAAATAGTCAATAAGTACGCGCTTTTCTCTTCTAAACACAACTGATACGTATACAACACTACTTTGCTTTTTTTTCTTTGCTGTGATAAAAGTAGTCCATTGATTTTTGAACGCACAGAAGACTTTGATGTCGCTCATGAATTACCACATTCTCCGTAAAGATTGGCACCATGAACTACCCTGTGCCTATAATATCTCCTGCCATGGAAGACTGTACTGTTTAACTATGACATACAGCAACAACAGGTTTAACTCTCAAAACTTTACTGAAACCAAACTATTGGCATATACAGTTAATATACGTATCAAATCGTACATGTATGCTGTAGTCTAGTCATATATATTAGTTAAGTAAACTCAGTTAAGTTCATTAGGTAAACTTAACCCAAACTATATACATGTTTCAGTTGGATTTTAGCTGCATCAGGACTGCTCTTATTTGTAACTGCGTATATTTCGGTAAGTTTATCTCCCTGAAAAGCTGAGGGCCTATTTTTCAAAAGAACTTTAGGCCAAAATCTGGTGTAAGCCTACAAACTAAAAGTTTTAGCAGATTTGACCCTTTACAAATCAGATGCAGCTTTGTTCTCAAATTCCTCTGTAAAAAAGGCTTTCCTTATTTATTTATTTATTTGTTTAAAGTGTTTCGCTGAAGACAAGATTGGTTCACGTTGAATTTAAGCGTTTAACGCACACACACCTTTATGATAAACCAAGAAACCAAAACTGCACCTGCTTATTGAGAGTATTTTCGCTTTAATAGTACCCATGGACGAGGAGTGTTTGGGAAGCTCTGGCACCGAACTGTATCTTGTGTGCTGGATTTGCCTTTGTGATGACAGTCGTGTCGCCAATAGTAACCAACCTCGTGGAGCTACGTCACAACTCCGAGATAGCGCAGGTGCTCGGACTTTCCAGCGCCATGTTGTCTTTGGGGTTCGCTGTGGGTGGGTATAGCTTACCTTGCATAACAGGTGTCAATAGTCAAGTCAATTTATGGGTGGGTTTTTTTCTTAAACTATAAGGTTTCTTTTCGTGTCTCATTCAAGTCAACATTTCTCTTAAAACAAATACAAATAAGATTAATTTGAAACCATTAGAGTTAACAGTTTGTCACCCAGTCAGTTGAAAGGGAATCTCTCTTTCTCTCTTTCTCGCTTTGAGTAGAACAAAGTCCTAATCCATAATCCATTTTGCTTTTTTAAGGAACGTCAGGTACTGGGGCACTTATGGCCGCTACAACGTTCGAATGGTAAGATTATTCAGAGAAAGGCCTTATAATTTGTTATTCTGATGTTAAACTTGATATTTTTCTTTCTTCCTTTTTTTTTTATTTATAACACCCCTTGTCAATCGCCATTCTCTTTGTTGGCTTTGTGACGACATAAAGACAGAATCACAAAATTAAACATTAAACATGGGTATACATAATCACATATTTTACTCTATAAGCTCATTACACATAAGAAGGAACAATTATATATGTGTGTGTGTTTATTCATTTGCATGTTTCATCGTCTTATTAATTCTTATATCTATTCACACTGGCCCATCTGTACACATTGCAGGGCATGTTACCTGGTTGCCTTCGTGTGTATCTTATACGCATGTTTATGTCTGATAATGATCTGTCATCCAGTGCCAGAAGAATGTACGGTAAGTGTAGAAAATTTATTGTTTTTTTTTTCATATTCACATATTCACTATTCACCAGAAAACGGCAATTTTTTTTTTTTACAGTTGGAATAGTCTACCGTTTTTACAGTGTAGCATGCCGTTCGTCACCTTTTTATTATTCCCTTTTTTGTTTACATGTTTATTTTTGTCTTGCAGGAATAATTTTAGATTGGTTTAAGAAACCCTGTATTATACTCTGTTCTGTATTCTAGGAAGAAAAATCTGATGGAAAAGCGTACGAAAGATGTCCTTCCGATGAAGAATAAATGGATTTAAAAAAAAACTTTAGGTGCTCCGATATAATAGCGTTTCTTAAACATCATTTATCTTTACCACCATTTATATTTGAAATCTACAACATTATCTCAGGTACACAATAATATAGGAGTCAAGTTGTCTGCATAGAGTTAATTGGAATGAAACACATTTCCTTCGTGTGTGTGTGGGGGGGGTGTGTGTTTGTGTGTGTGTGTGTGTGTGTGTGTGTGTGTGAGAGAGAGAGAGAGAGAGAGAGAGAGAGAGAGAGAACGCTATACCTACTGTGCCATGCTGACTTTATTTTAGTTATATTTATTTTCATTCAATTTCATTCATTTGCTTTATATCAATTAATTATTGAAAAACTTACTTGACTGAATAAAGACAAGTACAGTTAAAATGGATATACTATTATTTTTGAATAACTGGTCAAAAAATTAATTGATAAATTACCATTGACTAATCGCTGAATCAATAAATAACCTTACTTTGAACAAACTTAAAAGGTAATGAGCAATTGAACTACAGAGCAAAAGTGGCAAATATACAATCACCAAACAGAAAATAATAATTATAACAATAAGTAAAGCAAAAATAAGGACGGGCACCAAAATTCTAACGTAGCCTCATTAAGAAAGTATCTCAGTGACTCTGTAGTGACTATTCTAAACGCCCATTATCTTCGACCTATTTCTGGAAGCCAGTCAAAATATTTCAAGAGAACTGGGGTATGTTGACAGTCTTATGTTGAGTTATCAAACATTCCATTTTGCCTAATTTAATGCCATTTACTTAAATCAGAAACGCGTCGAGGTGCATAGCACAATCACCTGTATAGTATGCCTTGGTATAATGTGGTAGAGGAGACACTGCACGAATGTGGGGCAGATTGTGGTTGTTGAGACGTGATTGCGACTGTTGAAGCATCCCGAGTTCATGTACTGTACCCATTGTAGACCAAAATGTTCCAGAAATAACAAATACATGTACCCAGCAATATCTTCATTTGAAAGTTTGTTCCGTATACTGCAATACTATCACAGGAAATCCAATGTACTAATGTTAAATCTGAAAGTCGTCTAAATATAAAAAAAAATTCTTAGTCCACAATACAACATTTAACTGAAGGGCTTGTCACTGTTATACTGTACATGTATTTGTATCCCAACCTATGTATAAAAATATATTTTATACCACCCTGCTACTAGTTCAGTTTTATCAGTGAATTAAGTCAGATAACAACAATGAAATATGTCACCATGTCTATTGTGTACAGAGAGATAACGCCATATTACCGATTAATATGACACTGAAGTCTCCTTGAATACTGATTGCCTCACCTGACTAGGTGTACATGTCAAGAGAGACAGTTCATCTTAATGGCGACTGAGACCGTGTACCTGCCACCAAGAGAAAGATTATTGGACTAAGGAGAGGTAATAATAATTCTGAAACTATACTGGGTTGATGATTAAAACAGTCTTTGTCTATACGTAGGGTGTAAGACATTCCTAGTTGTTACCCTGTTCGAATGTAAAAGTTTTTGTTTCTTGACGTTTGGATGATGGTTTCTTGTTTAAACATAGCTTCAAGGTGTGTGTTAACCTTAATCTTTATCATTTAATCCACGCTTTCCATTCTTCGATTTAAAGATATCGGTCTAAGGAGCCATGTCTCTGTCCAAAATCCTAACGGAAGATTACCTAACGTGCAGCATATGCCTTGAAAAGTTCAAAGACCCCAAGGTCCTCGGCTGTACACATACCTTTTGCCAGCATTGCCTCCAAGACCATTTGGACAGAAATTTCAGAGGTTGTTCTCGCTTCCCTTGTCCTATCTGTAGACGTCAATGGGACCTCCCTGGGGGCGGTGTAAGCAGTTTACAAACCAACCATCTTCTGGTCAGCATATCACACACACTTGGGCAAGTAGAAAGAGCAAAAAACGCCAAGAAATGCGAGGTATGTTGTCTGAAAAAAGTCCAGAATCCACCATCGGCAACAAAACGTTGTTTGGAATGCGAAGAAAGTATGTGTGGTGATTGTTCTTCGGAACATGTGCTTCATAAGTTAAATCGTGACCACAAACTGTTTCCTGTCGACCAGTATGACAGCGACGAATACGTGACAGAGCTGCGTGCCCGACAAAACATCCTTTGTGACCACAACAACAAGGACCCCATAGATATATTCTGCCCAGCGTGTAAAAAGTTTGTCTGTGTTGGTTGTATGGTTTTAGAACACCAGGGGCACGATTGCCTAAGAATCAACATTGCTGCCGACAAACGCAAGGAAAAATTGGAACTCCACGTGAAGCCAATCGAGAAGAAAAGTCTACTCTACGATCAGTTCAAAACCGCTGCTGAAGACCAGAAAGCGTCAGTAGAACAGGGAAGAAAGAAGGCAAAGAGCCAAGTGAACAAGCAGTTGGAGCTAGTAATTAAGATGGTCCGTCAACGTGCCGAGGATCTTCTGGAAGAAACAGATGCCACGTCAAACGCTAAACTAGAGGTTTTAAATGCTTTAATTGCAACTGCTACCTCCGACCAAAACCAACTGAACGACGTTCTAGACTTCTCAAGAAAGCTTATAAACCATGGGAACGATATGGATGTTCTGCAAATGGCCGACACCTGTGAGCAAAGCAGCGCCAGCGTCCAGACTCTCCACATCCCGAAACTGCCCGCAGCTTTGACCCAGCTACAACTTATCACCAACAAAATGGAGGAATGTGTAACCAATATTAACAGTTGCCTTGGAGACGTGGTTCCCGCTGCGAGTGGAAGACTGGTGACAACATTCAAAGTAGAACTAGCCAAGGAGTTGATCAGTCACATGACCATTGATGGATATGGTGGCACCTTTATTGGCATTTTTTGTAATGAGGACTGTCCACGGAATAGAATCCATATCTACGATAACACCTTTATCCTACTGGGTACAATTCCAAACCCAAGAGCAGAAGAAAAGGACATGTTTGTTGGGATTGCCATTGATGATGACGGAAACATCATCACTGGATGTCAAATTTCAAATGAAATCATCGTCTACACCAAGGCTGGGGGCCAGGTGAAAACATTCCACAGTGAGTCACCAGAGGCAGTAGCGGTCAACAGCAAGGGTCACTATGTAGTTGCCGGTCGTCATACTCTGACTGTGCATCAAAAGGACGGCAAGGTCCTGCAGACGACACCAGACCCAGGGGGTCAATATACTAAATACATCCACTGCAACGTGAATGGCGACGTCATAGTCTCAGATCCAGGAGATGATCACATCCGTGTATACAATTCCACTCTCCAGCTTAAATACAGATATGGTACCCACGGTGATGGGGACGGACAGGTGGACGCTCCGTGCGGCACATGCTGCTTGGATAATGGAGACATAATTCTAGCAGACCTCAACAACCATCGTCTGCACCTGGTGTCGCCGGATGGGAAATTTAAGCGTTTTCTTCTAAGCAAAGACAATGGACTATTTAATCCAGGAAATGTTACTCTAAACCATCTCGGAAAACTGGTTGTTGGGGAAAGGGGAGGAAGGATTAAATTATTTGAATTATAAGCTAACAATGGAATTCAATGCATATTGTAATAGACAAAAAGCTGACCCTGAAAAGAGGCTAAAAAAGTGACTTTTTCTTCGGCAATCCATACGCGGATTGATATTGTATGATGATAGACAAATGTATGACCGTTTATTACATTGTTTTCGTCCTATAACACCAATTGGCCATGACAAAGAAAGAGGAGGCTAAAGTCGGCTAAAGGTGCGAAAAATTTAAGATTTAAGATCAGCTGTCTATTTTTAAACAGCAATTACATGAATTCCATCGAGATTTAAACCGTGAATATCGGCGAATGAACTACTGTAACTATATTACTTTCAATAAAAGGATTAAATTTGAAAGCTAATGAAAAGTATTTTTGAAGTCATATGAATGTCATTTTGATAAACACGGATTGCTGAATTTCAAAAATCTTCAAATTGCAAATTTGGAGCATTTTGATACAATTTTTAAAAAAAGAGTATAAAATATGGTTGTTTCACACATTAAGTCGTCGAGATATACATGTATGTTACATGACATACTGAATATTTGTGAAAATTTTTGAAAAGGCCTAATATCTAAATTTTATGTGCGACACGCATATATTTGCGATTATGATATCAATTACACATTATTTCACAATTGATAAATTGTGTTTTGTTACTAATATAAAAGTTATTACGATCAATATGTTTAGTCGATTATGTGTAGTTAATAAATTAAAGCAATGTCGTGTTCTGACAAATAGTAATATTTCATTGCACTGTTGAAAGAGCTGATAATCCTCATGTGAAATCAGACCAATATGCTGGTTATAAGCTTGGAATTCTCAGATGAGAAGTGCTTGTTCAAGGTACGATAACAAGTAGGGACGGTGGCACGGTGGGGATGATGGCTACTCCATACGTCATGGCTGCCCAGCAAACATAAAACGTTATTATAACGTTACCATAACGTTTTTGGTTATATCAACGTTGTGGTAGCGTCGTAATGAAGTTCTGTATCTGTTGGGTGCGCCCAAGAGACGGGCTGACTTCGGCAACCTTTGAAGTGTCAGTGGCAGATATACTTGTTCAAAGAAATAACAAGTTTGAACGGTGACACAATGAGGGCGGTGATAAGTACAGCGTGAGCATGATGATAGCATAAACGGGCCGGATTTAAAAAAAACTTAAGGTTTTCCGACAAGATCTATAGTTTTGTTCAATCTTTTAATGTGATCATCACTTTACCGGCTGCACAGAGTTCATTGGAATGAATTGCACAGCGCCTATCTTTCATGCATTTGTGAGTATGAGAGAGAGAGTGAGAGAGAGAGAGAGAGAGAGAGAGAGGGGGAGGGGAGAGAGAGACATTTTATGTCGTTGCTTTATATCAAATTATCACCGAAAAACCCATCTGACTGAATAAAAACTATTAAATTAAAAATTGATAAATTATCATTTGAATACTTATTACGAAAATTCATTGATACATTACATTAATTAATTAAATAAACTGTGAATCAATTTGCTGCAAACAACTACTCATTTTGAATTTAAAAAAACTATGCAGCCATTTAGTCTTCCGAACTATTGATTCGTGGTCACAACTTTTCTGAAGTTCTAAAATAACAACAACAAAAAAAATTAAAAGTGCTCACCTCGTGGGAACAGATTTTGACGCTGCCATTATGCTTTGGTTTTTCGTAATTACCGCAAGTTGGCGCTTCGGTTCCCAGTTATGACGAGCGCCAACCCTTATGTTATGCAGCATTTTCGGTAATCTAGAAAACCAGACTCTTTTATACCTGATCCTAATTTGCATTCCAAACTATCTTCTATAACTGGCGGTATCAACCTGTCATGCTTAAATACATCTGAATTAATTAAAACTTAATTTTAGATACATTTAAATTACACAAATATGCAAATTATATACATGGAAATCTAACTATCAGTACTATTACTGGTTCACTACATGCAAGATGTCATGTTTAAATACATCTGTATAAATTAAACAAATTAAACAAATGTGCAAATCACATACATGCAAATTTAAACTTATCAGTATTATTAATGGTTCACTACACATATGTTAACCGTATGTAGAGCGCTCATATCAAGTCCATGTCAGGAACTAAAATATTACGGATTTGTCAAGATTTAAGCGTTTCTGTTACGTCTGATTTGCGTTTATATGTGATACAAATACAATACATTATTAATATATTCGTAATTCATATTGCTCTTATCGGCACACTATTGCGGAAAATTTGTCATTTTTGGTCAATTATGTTGCGGATGACAACGAAGGTCCGAATCCCAAGAAAATTTGTATCCTTAATTCATCCTCTCGTCAGTGTGACCGGGCCTTTACAACGTGTATGGGAGATCATACTTTGCACTGAGGTTGAAACCGGAAACGATAGTTATGCACAACAAATCGTTTTCTTCACGCATCAAAATTTGCGACGAAGAGCATTTTTTGTTTTTCTCTAGTGTGTGTGTGTGTGCCGTAAATGATTAATGAGATGACCAAAAAACATGACAATACTATTCTTTTCCACAATGCACAGCTGTAAAACAGCCTGGCATGTCCGTGTCCCAGATTTAAGCTCTGTTTTAGTATTGTTTTCAGCTAGGAATTAAAAAGTTAAAAATACACAGGCATGTTTGGAACACACAGTTGTTTGTTATTAGAAGACAAGCCTATCCCTTTTCACGTGAAAGCAACCCCGTTGTATACCAACACATAGGAATTCTTTGACAGACTATCAAAGATGATAACCCATTGTTTTTACCATTAAGGTTGGACGATATACATATAAATGAAACGAGCGTGAAGATATCTTGTTAAATGATGATAAACGCAGATCGCTAATCTAGCAAGCAATTAGTCTGATTCTCATCTGCTTAATCACTGTGAAGGATCACTCGTGTTGCTGGGGTTAAGAAAGACCTCATTTTCCGGTGTACTGCTAGTACCTATGTTTGACAACTGTGCCGGTTTGTGTTCGGGTTTACCTCGGAGCTTGTTTACAGTTAAGTTGCAGTTAAAATATAAAACCATATTTTATCATAATATATGCAGAAAGAGCACAGCTGGTACAGACAGTAGCTCGGTATGGACCGTTATGTCGGACAATGGGACTGATAGATACAGTGAAATACCAGGACAAAATATCCAAGGGGGGCACGGCGCGGGTCCTGTGAATGATATTTGGTTACTGGAGTGGCCGCCAGAGGACGAGACCAGACCGGTGTCAGCAAAAGACAAATGGCACGCTTTCCGGCGTTCCCAGGGGTTGGTCATAGCCGTGGTGTTCGTGTCCCTGGCGCTCCAAACCAGCCTGTCGGCAACCTTGGGTAAGTGATCATATTAGATAAGGCTAAGTGACCATGAAGTTAAGTGATCATAAGGCTAAATGACCATAAGGCATGAAGTTAAGTGATAATAGATCATGAAGTTAAGTGATAATAGAAGGCTAAGTGATTAGAAGGCTAAGAAGCGATTAGAATAAGTGAAAAACGACAGCTAAAAGAACCTGAATAATCGCCGTGTGTGATGAACAAATGTATGGATGGTGGGGATGGCGGTACTTGTTAATACAATGTATTACACTCCGTTGAGTAGCGTATTACCAAGGACCCAAAATATCTTCTATCCTAGTTGTCACCAGCGTGCTATGTGCCAGATAACCTCGAGCATCCGTGAGAGGTGCTCGGAACATTTATCGCGAGAGGGTGGTTGTGTTACATTTTATGTATGAGCACCTGTACCGAGATTAAGGCTCTGTTCACATGGAAAGTCTATTTTCTAAAAATCTATTTTCTATTCGCGGTATCTTGTGATCACGGTCTGTGCCCTGAATACCCCGCAGCGTAATTACTGGCAGCGCGAGCCAGTTACTTCCAAAGCTGTAATTAATTCTCGGCTGCGCTCGGAGTGATCACAAGATACCGCGAATAGAAAATAGATTTTTCATGTGAACGGAGTCTAAGTGCTTGCATTTCACCGAAAGCCATTCTTAAGACCGAACAAAGCGTATAGCGCCACGATCACACAACATTTCTGCATTTTTGTGGCAAAAATGTTAATTAAATTAACATGTACAAATAAAACGTTTTGTTGCTGCTGTTGTTGAAACACTATTAATCTTTTAACTGGACAAAGGAGAACCCGAGGGTTTATAGTTGCCACACCGTTAATTACTTCAAGGTGCGACATTTTGATCATTAAGTTACTGTGGCTTTGCATACGGAATCATCATACCATGGATTTTATATATTGCGAACTGAATACAAATGCCGTTGTCATAAATCAACTGTAAGTTATGTACATTTGCGGCTTCGAAAGGACATTAGAAAATATGAGAAAGTTGAAAGTCTCAATTTTGGCATGAGAATTGATCTCTGTAAAAGTTATATTTAGCCAAAAATATCAAAATTAGATGAAGTTTTAATTAATAAAAAGTATTAATAGTTAATTGGCATTTCGTTAAGGCACGAAATGGTTTTTAAATGTTTACCTTTAACTGTGACCGCTTGTGAATAAATTTTGGCCCATTCTTAACCCTTTTGAATTTGGGGCTATAGTAATATTTGATAATGAACACAAAATTCATACAGCCTTGTTCATTAATTTTATATCACAGATGCTTTTTGTCACATATTGCGAGTGGGCAAATATGCGTTCCCCAACGGGTCGCGAGCGCGGGGTAACAGATGATTTATTAATTATGTCTGCCCAAATTTGTCAAGCGTCAAATTTTACTCTGTAGACAAGTAAATAAAATGCTTAGCTTAAAGGGATAACAACTCTTCGTATGAAATCTATATTTCACAATAAATACATCGTAAACAACTCATAGAAATATGATATATTCTATTTTACCACAAAAACGGCAGTAATAGCAATAAATCTGAAATCTGTGCTTGCCATCCGACCTCGTGACCTCCATAGATGGCTATGCTCTGTAATAATCTCTTAAGAGATTATTATAAAAAAACTAACTTTTATAGAAAAAACGGGGACTAACTTTGAATGTAGAAATGGACTCATTTACCATTGGAAAGTATGAGAAAATTGCTGTTTAACCCAGGAAAATTCATTTTTTGGCCAAAATGAACAGTTATTATCCCTTTAAATATGTCTAGATCTAGTACTAATCATATCATTACGATATTTTTTAATATTTGCATAAAATTCTATTGCATTAATGCTAAAATAAGTTATTCCAATGTGTCAAGGTCAAGGTGTATATTTGCAAGTTTTCATTATCATCCTTTATTCAATTTAAAATTATCAATTTATTTATGTATTTCAGAAGCCATCCTCCCCTGCCTTCTACTGGAAGACGACCAAGACCCAACGGCCAGCTGTCAAACCACTCCCAGTACCTCCAGTGTCGTGGCGGTCCCTGGGGGTGGTAGGACGGACCCTGGGGTTGGAAGGGAGGAGCCTAAGATAGAAAGCCTCTCTGGCAAAGGCGGAGTGTTGCTGGCAGTCAAGTTTGCAGTGGAGATAGTGGTGAGGCCGCTGGTCGGGATCGTGGTTGGCAGGCAAGTTTATGAATCTATTTTTCCAAATTTAGGACAGTGGACTAACCAGTCCGCGGATCAGAAATGGCGACCCACTAAGTGACTGACTTACATCTGTCTAGTGACTAATTGAAACACTAACCTACAGAATAAATAGATGGATGGATGAAACGGTGGAAGGAAGAGTGGAGTTACGACATGATGAAATCGTGCATATACTCCAATACTGTTTCTCATTCAGATATTTAAATCATCTTTAAGGTTTGGCCACAAGTCTCCTCTGCTGGTTGGGTGTGTTCTAGATGCCGCAGCAACGATAGGTAATTTTTTATTCAAATTTAAACTTTTTTTTTTGTATGCTTGAAGCAGTTGCGAGTGCTGTTTATATATGTTTACACATTTTATCGGTTTGATTGTGAGGTTTTCCTTAATATTTATAGAATTCCCTCTGCTTTCGTTGGTTTTTGCCCACTGTGTGAATAGCATTATAGCTAGAAACCTATTTTTGTATTCAAAGTGAATGGTAATTTCGGAATAATTTAATGGTGGTTTCATTTTCAGCTTTTGCATTTGTAAAACCATTCCCTCTGCTGATTCTGATACGCATGGTACAGGGCCTGGGGTCAAGTGTCACATATGTTGCTGGTACGTTAACAGACATCCCCTTATCGTGTTTACTTCTTTAATATTTATTTCAATCTGAGCCCTACGACACGCTAGTAGTCTTAAGTTGTTCAACGATTCATTTTGTCTACTTTAATGACCAAATCTATCTCTTCCTCTCTCCCTAGACTCTCTCTCTCTCTCTCTCTCTCTCTCTCTCTCATCTTTTACACACACACACACACACACACACACACACACACACACACACACACACACACACACACACACGCACGCACACACACACACACACACACACACACACTACGCACACACACACACACACACTACGCACGCACGCCAGCTGATGTACGCGTTCATATTTAATGGGAGCTCACGCAATTAACATTCCAAACAAAAAATGACGTTCACTTTGTAACGCAACTGTTTTTCTGCAACATTCCATTGTAGCCGTAACGTTACTTGCTGAAAGATTCAAAGATAAAAAGGAAAGGACAAAAGCGTTTGCAGTGGCATTTGGAGGGTATGCAGTTGGGATGCTAGGTACGTAGTTTGTATCGCATGGCTAACTTCACTGGTAAATCCTACTCTTTATTAGAGCCATGATAAGGAGTGAAGATAATTCCATACATAAATTCTCGCTAGATAAAGTAGAGAAAATTTCCATAGAATTAGCCAGAGACATATCTGTGATTGCATATAGTAAAAAAATGAATGTAGATGAACTCTTGTTTTTTTGTGGGTTGTTAGGGGGGAGAAGTCGATCACAAGGATAAAGCAAATAAAGAATTTCATTTCCAGTCGATATATTAAAAAAGACAATAAAACACAAGCTATGTTGAGGGTTTTTTTTTTTAGGAAAATTAAGAATAAAACAATTTAAGTATTATTTATCGTTACTTATTTAAATTTATTAGATAATTATTCAGTTTTCCATAAAATGGCGTATTTTAGGAGGTTACTCCATGGGCAGTGTGTTATATCAGCTATTGGGCAGACTGGCGCCTTTTCTTCTACAGGGAGGTCTCAAATGTTTTGACGCAGGTTGGGATAATATAATATAATATAAAATAATATAATATAATATAATATAATATAATATAATATAAAATAATATAATATAATATAATGCAATAAATATCTCAAAAAATAAAATATCATCTCACAATAACATTGTTATTCATTTCTTTAATTTTGCAGTCGTAACATCTTAATCGGACTGCAAAATGCGTTCTTGGAACTTTAAGAATTCTTTTGTTTTCTCTCGTCTAACTTAGGGCTACGTTTGCTGGTTGTTTGCCCCACAGCGGAGGTAAGACTTGTTGTCGTATGAATCACTGTTATCTAGGAAAAAAGGCCCTTTTCAAGGGCATTAGTTCATTCAGTTATTCCCTTAACTTCCAAAATCAATAAAGAGGTGCATTTCACATTCGCGAAGTATCAACAAATGAAATTGAATGTATTCGAAATAGTATTCAGTTTTTTAAACATAAATGGGTATAGAACAAATATCCAAAGCTGTCTCAATTTTACCTCTACATTTACCTCTAAATTTTTACCATGTCTATACATTACGTAAGGTGTCTAAATTGTAGCGTATGTTCCGATAACGCATGTTCCAGGTCATAAAATTTTAATTTTTATATCGTGTTCCGACATATTTTGTAGTGATTCAGGCATGGTAAATAATATATGACGTAAGGATGTTTTTATGAATTTTTAAACTGTAACTCAAGGGGCTTTGCGTCATGGCCAATACTATGTAACGTATGTTCCCCAGAAAAGTTGTAAGAAAGTTTCATCTTGCTCAAGTACTTGGTGCAATAGGAAACAAGGTTTTCTGTTGCTGACTGAATTTTATGAACCTTATTTGCACCTCTGTATTGGGTTTGGGTGTAAAGCTATAGAGCTTTAACAAAATTGAATGCTTAAAACTGTCAAAACATGTTGAAACTAGAAAAGCAGACCTCCGCCAAGGCAGCAAAGTCTCCATCCAATGCCGTTTCACCCCTAAATTTTCATTCTATACTAGTAATGATTTTTTTTTATTTTGATTATTGATTATTAATTGATTATTGATTGATAATTGATCCGGATCACCACCAAAAACTAATAATCTGTTCCTTGACCCACTTCTGACAGTTCCTGAAAATTTCATCAAAACTGGTCCATAACTTTTTGAGTTATGTTGATGACAGACAGACAGAAAGACAGACAGACAAACAAACAAACAAACGGGGGTGAAAACATAACCTCCTTGGCGTAGGTAAGAATGAATTTAGGAAATATTTAATGATCTTGTAATAGACACAGATATTGACTTTTGAATAATCATCACCCTTTCCGCCAAAACGTAAACAATATAAGAATGTCTATATAGTCCCTTTACAAATGTCTTATCTTTTATAGGGTACTGATGACGACAATAAATCATTTACACTCTCGAGGTATCTCAATATAATACGAGACCCGTATATTATCCATGCCTTAGGTAAGTTCTCCACAAATTGCCTCGTTTTGGAACTTAAAACATATACAAGCATGCACATGCAACAGTGACGAGGTCGAGGTTACATCAAAGTCGGGTTTTCTGGGTTATATGTTCCGTTTAGTTTTCAACGAACTGTTAACCAACACAACACAACACAACACAACACAACACGGCGTCTTAAGGGCTATGTGCGGATCCAGTACATTTTATTATAGCCGTTATGCCCACCAACATATCAACCGAACTCCTTTTGTTTTAAGCAACGAAAAACAACAATTTCGTCTACCAACCGTGTCGCTGCTCCTTAGCCAATTTATCAATATTAATAATTTCTTACCGATCCTTTTAATTATTCAGACACTGCTATTAATGTTTCTGTCAGTTAGTGTTTTCGCGCCACTCCCTTGGAACATTTTATGATGTACATTTAATCCTTTTGTAACTGTGCATTTGCAGATTATATATTGCATACTCTTGATATACGGGCAGAAAGGACCTTGACAAAATCCTTCTTTGTAGGTTTGGCCTTCGTCACTGAATTTGCCTATTCCCCAATATTAGCAATGGCGCCACCGTGGCTCTTACAGAGAGGAGCACAGGAGTGGCAAATAGGTAGGTGCACCGCATTTAAATTACAACTTGACTTGCCCTGGTCTATTACTGATGTAATTACTGGGTTCATATGGAAAGTGGCCAAAGACCCGGAATTAAGAGATGTCATTTTGAAAGTGGAGTTTATTTAAAATCTAAACGAAATTTAGACACGATAGTTGTAAGGATACTAGAACATTCAATTATTTCCAACGCATTGAGTCGTCACAGAGGCGGTATTGAGAGATGCCATTTCATTGCATGTGGCTCGTATTTATATTTCTACACACTTCACAAATTTCCAAGCCTTCACAGTGTTTATTGGACTTGGATGGGAAGTCTTATATTCACAATCTTAATGCAACCTTGGATTTGAACTTTTATTTTTTCCCCACGATTTTGTTAAAGAACGTAATTTTCTAAAAAGAAAATTGAGAATATTTATTATTTGATCAAACTACAGACATTAACAAGTAGGGAATACTTACTTATATGATACGATGAAATATCAAAATACAGGGGATATATTACCCGTACATGACATTCTTCAAAACTTAGAGCCTTAAAAGTTTTTTTTTTTTAATTTAAGAGCGAGCTTTCTTTTTACCATGTACCATGACCAGTCAAATGGACCCATTTCTGTATTTTCAGGTGTATTATTTTTGGTCTCAGGAGTGGCCCAGCTTATAATGCAAGAAGTTGTAAAGCGACTATCAAGCATAGTGGATAAGTAGGCGGTTTTCTCTTTTTAACATAACTGATATGTACACGAAGTTACTTTCTTTTTTTTTCTTTGCGGGTGATTGAAACAGATCTTTGATTTTTGTACACGCAGAAGTCTTTGGGATCATTCAGAACAAGCTGATCAGTGGACTAACAGATCCGCGGATCAAATATGGCCGACCCGCTTGAAAGCCTGCTGCACAATCCTCGCATAGACACTGAATAGATTCCCCGCGGGGATTACGCAGTTAACTTTCAAGGGGGTCGGCCATATTTGATCCGCGGATCTGTTTCTGACCGATTTTGGTTGCGAATGCGGTCTTTGAAAGCTCGCTTGAATGACCCCATTCACCGTTCAGATTAGCAGCATTAATAGTGTTATATATGACTTCCAGAAATGACAGCTTTAATTCTCTCAACTTAAACTGTTGACGTATACAGTTAATATACGTATTACATCGTATGCTGTAGTATAGTTTCACAATTGCCTCTTTATGAGGCCTTAAACCATCTTTCGTTATATGTCTTTCAGTTGGATTTTAGCTGCATCAGGACTGCTCTTATCTGTAACTGCGTATATTTCGGTAAGTTTACCTCCCGGAAAAGCTTAGGGGCTTATATCTGAAAAGAACTTTAGTCCAAAATCAGGTGTTAGCCAATAGACTAATTTTTTTTGGACGTGGCCCTTTAAAAATCAGATGCAACTTTGTTCTCAAGTTCTTCTGTAAAATTTATTTATTTATTTATTTATTTATTTATTTATTTATTTATTTATTTATTTATTAAAAGTGTTTCGCTGCTTCATTTAATGTGTCCAGAAGACAAGATTGGCTCACGTTGAATTTAAAAGTTTAACTCTCACACACACACACACCTTCATGAAAAAAACAAGAAACCGAAACGGCACCTGCTTATTGAGAGTATTTTCGCTTTAATAGTACCCATGGACGAGGAGTGTTTGGGAAGCTCTGGCACCAAACTGTATCTTGTGTGCTGGATTTGCCTTTGTGATGACAGTCGTGTCGCCCATAGTTACCAACCTCGTGGAACTACGTCACAACTCCGAGATAGCGCAGGTGCTCGGACTTTCCAGCGCCATGTTGTCTTTGGGGTTCGCTGTGGGTGGGTATAGCTTAACTTGTACAACAGGTGTCAATAGTTTTGTCAATTTATGAGTTGGATTGTTTCTTAAACTAAGGTTTCCTTTCGTATTTTACTCAAGGTACCTCTACAGAAGTCAACTTTTCTCTTAAAACAGAAGATTACATTTAAATCGTTAGAATAACAGTAGGGCCTACATGTACCTTATCCAATTAGTTGAAAAAGAATCTCTCTCTCTTTCACTGTTTGAGTAGAACAAAGTGTTAATCCATAATGTTATCTTTAAGGTACGTCAGGTACTGGTGCACTAATGGCCGCTACGACGTTTGAATGGTAAGATTGTTCAGAGATGGGCCTACTAATTTGTTATTCTGACGTTAAATCTGTTATTCTGTTATTCTGATCCCTTGTCAGTTTCGATTTTCTTTGTTGGCTTTGTGACGGTATAAAACACTTAACTTTGAACATGGGCCTACATACTCAAATATTTTACTCTATGGGCTCATTACACATGAGGAGGGAAAATTACAACCCTAAATGCCCCTTGCTTCTGAAAAGGTTGGATTTTTAGTGAAGTCCGCCCCTTTTTTCATATACGGCGTATATATTTATATGTTTATTCATTTACACGTTTCTATTCACTTTGGCTTATCCTAAGGCTTATCTGTACACATTGTAGGGGGTGTTACATGGTTGCCTTCGTGTGTATCATATTCGCATGTTTGTGTCTGATTATGGTTTTTCATCCAGTACCAGTAAATTGTACGGTAAGTGTGGAAAAGTTGATTTTTCGATATCACTTACCCGTAAACAACAAATTCTTCTGCAGTTGGAATAGTCTACCGTTTGTACAGTGTAGCATGCCGTTTGTCACCTTTATATTAATCCTTTTTTGTTTAGATGTTTATTTTTGTCTTGCAGGAATAATTTTAGATTGACTAAAGAAACCTTATATTGTTCTGTTCTGTATTCTAGGAAGTAAAATCTGCTGATGAAGCGTACGAAAGATGTCCTTCCGACGAAGAATAAATGGATTTAAAAAAACTTTAGTGCTCCGATAAAATTTCGTTTTTTTTAATATCATTTACTGTGATTATCACTTAATCACATTTGCTTTATTATATGAAATCTACAAAATGATCTCAGTTACGCAACAATATATTATTTGTCTGAGAAGAAAAATTTACTTGCTTAATTGGAATGAAACACACAACGCATATCTTTCATACGTGTGTGTGTGTGTGTGTGCGTGTGCGTGTGTGTGTGTGTGAGAGAGAGAGAGAGAGAGTGACAACGCGATACATACCGTGCCATGCTGACTTTATTTTGATTTTATTTATTTTCGTTCAATTTTATTCCTTTGCTTTATAGCAATTAAATATTGAAAAACACTTTTGACTGAATAAAGACAATTCAAGTTAAATTTGATAAACTATCATTTTTAAATAACTATTCAAAAAAATTGATTACCATTGAGTAATTGCTGAATCAATCTAGCTTTGAATTGAAAAATTTATTCAATTTTAGTGAGTCATTAAACTAGACAGCAAAGTTGGCAAATGTACAGTCACCAGACAGCAAAAAGAAAAAAATCCAAAAATATTTACAAAAAAAAAAAAAAAAAAAAAAATCAACCTTTCAAATATTCGAAAAAAAAAAAAAAAAAGAACTGCACCTTATTAACAAATAGGACCTTAACCCACCAACAAATTTGAATTAAAGCAAATGTACGGCGCTAATAATACGGATTGGCACCAAAATTCTAAGTCATGCATGTCTCACTTCAGAAACATAGCTTCACTGAGAAAGCATCTAAGTTATTCCTCCGCAGCTATACTTTTCTACACGCCTTTATCTGGCGACGTCTGAAAGCCAGTCAGAATATTTCAAGATTACTGAGTATGTTGAAAGTCTTAAATATTTGGAGTTACCAAACCCGTAAAGTTCCATGTTTTAATAAAAGCCTTTTTATCTCAATCAGGAACGGGCAACCGTGTATAACACCATCATCTGGGCCCTGTTGCACCAACGGGGCATAAATTTGCTGGGATACGACTGTCGTAAACCGCAACGCCTGGCGTCCTGCGATAGTTTTACTCTCCCTACGAGCTACGACCGACATGGCAGGCGTAAATTTACGACTAGGCTTCAATGGAAGTAGCACTACGTCAACTCCCCCGATTTCCGCAATCTCATCCATCAAAAGAATTTTCCACGAAGAACAATTATGTGGATTTACCAATTTCTTTAGCCATATCAATTTAAGAGCTTTACAGAAGGATTTCACCTCGGGGACCTTTAATCCACCGTTTTCATAAGAATTAATCATAACATTTCTCTTAACTTTATCTATTTTACTGTTCCAGATAAAGCGATAAAAGACTCGCTCCAATTATTTAAAGAAATGATCAGCAGGCATAGGAAGGACAGTTAATATTTGGATGATGATAGGGAGTGCCAAGGATTTTAAAATAGTTACTTTACCTAGGAGTGAAATATGACGGAATGACCAATCATTTAACAACGATTTGATGGAATGTAATTTTTCTCTAAAATTTTCTTCATAAATGTCCTCCTTTGCTAGGTTATACGAAATACCCAGTAGTTTAAATTTCCCACTATGATTCCAAAATATACTTTTAGAGGTTTGATACTCCTCACCACAGCAGCGCTTTGCTCCAATCCAAACAGCCTGGCTTTTTTCAAAATTTATTTTCAATAATTTGAGAGAACAATTCTAGCATATCCAGAGCTGCATTAAATGACTGCATTCAATGAGCTGCATTCATCTGCGTATTGTGTAATGACGTATTCTGAGTTATTCAGTAAGATCCCTTTTATGTTTGGATCAAATTTGACCGCCGCGCTGAGCAATTCTATGCAGATAATAAATATGTAAGGGGACAGAGGATCACCCTGTCTAACACCCCGAGTGACATTAAAGAATTCTGTTAGATGTCCATTACTTTCCACTGCAGTGGAAACATTAGAGTAAAGGGTTTTGCGCTGAAGTTACTCGGGCGCAACTGCTACGCCCGAGTTACGAACCGTTGGGGCAACCAGGCACTGTAGGCTAAGATATAATGCGTTAGGGTGTATGCTGGGTAGATTGCGGTTGTTGAGACATTCCGAGTTCCCAATCTAAACCAAAATGTTCAACATAAAACATAAACGTGTAGCCGACAATATATTCATTTGAAGACTCCTCTGTCTACCTCAATACTATCACCGAAAATGTACTGATGTTAAATCTCATAGTCATCTTAAATATCAAAATATAATTTCTTAATCCGCAATACAGCATTTAGCTAAAGGGCCCATGCTTGTCACTGTTATACTGTACATGTACCTGTATCCAACCGCTGTACTAAATATATTTTATACAACACTTGCACTAGGTCAGTTTTATCAGTGTACACAAGTGAATTCGGTCAGATAACAGCGATGAAATATATGTCACCACGTCTCTGTTGTGCATAGAGATAGCGCCATATTGCTGATTAAGATAACTTTGAAGTCTCCTTAACACTGAACGTCTCACCTGACCAGGTGTACATGTCAAGAGAGACAACACATCTAAACGGCGACTAGGGGCGAGTACCTGCCACCAAGATAAATATTTTTGGAGTAAGGAAGCTCAGAGGTAATTCGAAATTTGAAACCATACTGGGTTGGCGGTGAAAACAGTCTGTGTCTATAAGTAGGGCGGTAAAAACATACATCGGTGTGGTGTTCGTGCCGTATTCCTCTTATCTTAGTGGCTTAAAAAAGTATTGTAATATACACCCCATAATGAGGGGCTAACGGCGACCTCCACACGTCTGTCGTATGTCTGGAATTGCCTTATTTCATCTAAACATTAAATCTCATACATTACACTAAATGCATTTCTAAATAAAAACATTAATGCTGTGTATTTACCTCAATTACCAAATCTTTATCATTTAATCCATATCTTCCATTCTTACATTTCAAGATACTGGTCTAAGGAGCCATGTCTCTGTCTAAAATCCTAACGGAAGATTTCCTAACGTGCAGCATATGCCTTGAAAAGTTCAAAGACCCCAAGGTCCTCGGCTGTACACATACCTTTTGCCAGCATTGCCTCCAAGACCATTTGGACAGAAATTTCCGAGGTCAGCCTCGCTTCCCTTGTCCTATCTGTAGACGTCAGTGGGGCCTCCCTGGGGGCGGTGTTTGCAGTTTACAAACCAACCATCTTCTGGTCAGCATATCACACACACTTGATCAAGTAGAAAAGGCAAAGAATGCCAAAAAATGCGAGGTATGTAGCCTGAGAAAGGTCGGCAATCCACCAACGGCAACAAAACGTTGTTTGGACTGTGAGGAAAGTATGTGTGGTGATTGTTCTTCGGACCATGTACTTCATAAGTTAAATCGTGACCACAAACTGTTTTCTGTCGACCAGTTTGACAGCGACGAATACGCAAAAGAGCTTCGAGCCCAACAAAACATCCTTTGTGACCACAACAACAAGGACCCCGTAGAAATATTCTGCCCAGTGTGTAAAAAGTTCATCTGCGTTGGTTGTATGGTTTTAGAACACAAAGATCATGATTGCCTAAGAATCAAAACTGCTGTCGCCAAACGCAAGGAAAAACTAGAACTCCTCGTTAGCCCCATCGAGAAGAAACGTGCACTCTATGATCAGATCAAAACCGCTGCCGAAGACCAAAAAACATCAGTAGAACAGGAAAGAAAAAAGGCAAAGAGCCAAGTTAACAAGCAATTGGAGCTAGTAATTAAGATGGTCCGTCAACGTGCCGAGGATCTTCTGGAAGAAATAGATGCCAAGTCGGACGCGAAACTAAAAGTTTTTAATGCTTTAATTGCAACTGCTACCGCCGACCAAAAGCAAGTGAACGACGTTCTAGACTTCTCGAGAAAGCTTATTAACCATGGGAACGATATGGATATCCTGCAAATGGCCTCCGCCTGTGAGCAAAGCAGCAACAGCCTCCAAACTCTCGACATCCCGAAACTGCCCGCAGCTTTGACCCAGCTACAACTTAACACCAACGACATGGAGGAGTGCGTTACCAGTGTCCACAGTTGCCTTGGAGACGTGGTTCCCGCTGCGAGTGGAAGACTAGTGAGATCATTCAAAATAGAACTGGACAAATTTCATGAGGAGGTGATCAGTCACGTGACCATCGATGCAAATGGTGACACCCTTATTGGTATTTGGTGTGATAAGGACAATTTACGGAATAGAATCCATATCTACGATAACACCTTTGTCCTACAGGGCACAATTCCAAATCCACGGGCAGCAGAAAATGACGCGTTTGGTGGGATTGCCATTGATAATGCTGGTAACATTGTCACTAGATGTCAGGGGTCAAATGAAATCATTGTCTATACCAAGACAGGGGACCAGGTGAGAACATTCTACAGTAAATCACCAGAGGCAGTAGCGGTCAACAGCAAGGGTCACTATGTAGTGGCAGGCTGTTTTAATCTGACTGTGCACCACAAGGATGGCAAGGTCCTGCAGACGACACCAGACCCACGTGGTAAATATTTCAAATACGTTCACTGTAACGTGAATGACGACGTCATAGTCTCAAATCCCGGAGATGGTCACATTCGTGTGTACAATTCCACTCTCAAGCTTAAATACAAATATGGTACCCAGGGTGATGGGGACGGACAGGTTAACGGTCCACGCGGCACATGCCGCTTGGATAATGGAGACATAATTCTAGCAGACCTCAACAACCATCGTTTACACCTGGTGTCACCGGATGGGAAATTCAAGTGTTTTCTCTTAAACAAAGATAATGGACTGCTCAAGCCGAAAGACGTCGCTATTAACCATCTTGGAAAACTGGTCGTCGGGGAAAGTGGAGGCCATATTAAATTATATGAATTATGAGAAGTTGCTAAGATAACCATGGACTCTGAATAGATATTTTAGACACGGACAATATCCCAGGTGACATTGTATTGGCGGCCTCCCGCAAGCCGATTTTAACGCGTTTCGCCCTCTGTTCAGTTCACAAAAATAACACCCAGAAATGTAAATTAATATTAAACGAGTCGAATGTACAAGAAAGCGCCTCTATTAACATTATCTGAGGGTTATTTTTGTGAACTGAACAATACCTTCTAAAAAAACTTTTAAAAATAACTTACAAGAGCACGACTTTCTTTTTTAAAAACCTTTTTTTAAAGCCTCACGCTGCTTTTTATAATTCTGCTGCACCTCATTACAGTGACGATTCTTTTAAAGATGCTGTACCATGGGGAATGGAATTTGCCTCCACATTACTGCGGAAGATAACCTGTCCGGACACTTTTAAAGGGGAATCAAATCACACCTTTTTAATAAAAGGCTATACACTAGATTTACAGACTTTTTGATAGACTTAAACTAAAACTTAAAAGTCTACGTTTTTTAATCAGTTTGTTATATTTTAATCAAGTTTTCCCTTTTTTCTTAAGTTAACTGACATGATTATGAATGGTTATCAATATTATAATACGCTTTTTTTTTAATTTAGCAAACAAGTAGGCCTATAAACAAAGAAAAACAAAATAGCCCATCGCGATGAATTTTGAAATGAAACTGTAAGTCTTATTTGCGTAAAAAGCGAATTTAAAATAAAACAAATCTATCGTTTGGCAGTGGTTTTAGCTGACATCGACATTGATCAGTATATGCACTGTCGGGGAAAGTGGAAACAGCTGCAGGCCCTTTATAAAAATCTAATGGTTTCGTTTCGTGTCCGCCGCTTTTCTCTGAAGCAAATCTAGTAGGCCCTATCTACTTATTTCTTGTATGATAGCTCTCTAAAGCTTATCAACAAGTTGAAACAAGACTTAGTTTAAGTTCCATATATTTTTCGTTGTGTATATTATAATACATTGTCAATCTTAAAAGCTTGAAAATCATCCAGGCAGCTCACCCAGGTGACGTTAAAACTCACGAACGGGGCTTATCTTGAGACCTTGACCTAGATCAAAACAACAACATTCCCTTGGCGGATGACAAAGCATTTTTT